AGTTTACTAGGTGAGAAACTGAGCCCCAGAGAGGTGAACTGATTCACCCAGGCCTTGCAATTGATCTCTCAACGTCCACTTGACTGCCTATCAAAACATCAGACAGCCAACTGCTTGGTTCTCTACCGTCATCTAGCAATATGTCTCCATGTGTGTGTGTGTGTTGTATGCTGTCTATGATTCATGTTAAACATTAACTTATTTACATTAGTGGATAATAGTTATGGTATTGCTTTCCATTCCTTTTAACATATTGTATTCCGGTACAGTGCTTTTCGACTCTTAACGTGCAAGAAAATCATCTGGAGATCTCGTTAAAGGCAGATTCTGATTCAGTGGGTCTGGGATGAGGACTGAGTTTCTACATTTCTAACAAGCTCCTAGGGTGATAACAGTGTTCCTAATCCACAGTCTACATTTTTGAATAGCAAAGCTCTAGTAGATGAATGTTGTACTTGAACTTATATACATATATACAGTTGATCCTTGAACAACATGAGTGTGAACTGCAAGTCCATTTACACATATTTTTTTTCAACAAACACTGTAAATGTATTTTCCTTATGATTTTCTTAATAACATTATCTTTTCTGCAGCTTCCTTTATTGTAAAGACACAGTATGTAATATATATAACATATAAAATATGTGTTAATTGACTATTTATGTTATTGATAAGACTTCCGGTCAATAGAAGGCTATTAGGAGTTAAGTTTTGGGGAACTGAAAAGTTATATGCAGATTTTCAACTTATGTGGGAGGGTATCAGTGTACCTAACCCCCACATTGTTCAGGATCAACCATATATACACATGACTATAAACAAATGTTTGGTGCACAAAATCAGGAACACACAAGTTATTACTTTAGAAAAAGAAAAAGTTAAGTCTAAATAGAGTTTACTGAAATGCCATCTCGCCACAATAATCCTCATCTTGTGTTGTGATGCATCATTTACATTAAGTCATTGTTTCTGTTCTCTAAAGCGGCCATTATTCATAACTTGAAGTTAATGAGTGTGTATTGCTCTCCAGACTCTATTAAATTTGCTTGCACATCTCATTGAGTCTGAAAACCAATGTCATTTTATTGCCCCGATTTTGATTATATTTTAAAGGTTTATTGATAATCAAATAAACATGAAAGCAAATGCCATAATGGATTTTCTGGTTACTTACTAAAATGACTGGGTTTTTAAAGATTCCTTTTTTCCCAAGACTCCATTATGGTCTCCCCAGTAAGATGTTACTTCACCCTCAGCAGAGTAGTGTGAATGAAAGTGGGCTCTTCTGGCAAGATGTACTTTATTTGCATACTTTTGTTTACCATAAAGTCCTCTGAGTACAGTGAGGAAAATCAGCCAATTAAGATTGCCCTCTTTCTTTCCAGGCCCTTTAATATTTATTGTCTAAGAGTCAGTCGAACATTTTAGATAGAGAAGACTTATGATGGATAGACCTATAGTGGAAATAATAATCATGATGATACTAACAGTAGCTCTCATTTTTTGAATATCTACTTTATATTAATATTAGACTTATTTTTGCAAACTGGGATCTGCAGACCTGTTTGCAAGTTATATTTAAGAATGTTTTTGTTTTGCTAGTAACCTGGAAGGCACATCCTATAATCAAGTACCCACATTTATATTTAGAATAAGAAAAAAACAAAAAAGAAGACTAAGAAGCAGAGCTGGGACTAGAATGGGGAGTAAGGTACTTAACACACCTGCAGAATTTAAGGGGCCCAAGAGAGACAAAGAAACAACTTCAGTCATCTAGATAGTAATTATAGTGCAATATTTTAAAAAATCAAAATGCATGCAAGAAAATCATGATGATGAACAAAATATCAACATCTTAAGTAAAGATAGGATTCAACTTGCACTTGTACAACTCAGCCTCACTCACCTCAGCCTAATCCCAGACCGGCCGGCCATAAGCTTTTAAACAGTTATAAAGGTCTGAGTTTAAATTTCTAGCTATGTGACTTTAAACAAGCTCCTCAACTTTGCTGATTCCTACTTTCTCATCTTTAAATTAGAGTTATCATGGTACCTATCTACCTCCTAGGATTTCTGTCAAAATTAAACGAGATCATATAGTAGAGGCAGCAAATATGACACCTGGTCTAGAGTAAGCATTCCACTTCTCTTCCCCTTCCTTTCTAAGAGATCCTTCAACAAAGCCAGTATATGACATTTTATGTAGCAAGCCTTGTAGTATGAGTACCTAATCTGTCAATTTCATCCTTTGATTCCACAGAGCAACAAGAAGGCTGAGGTCCTTAACCCCATGATCAATAGTGTATTGTTAGAGGTAAGTGGCCCCAGAGAGAAAGTACTTCTGAATCAAAGCAAATGTTAGAGCTACATTTTTTTGTTGTTGTTTTTCTCCCAGGCAGCAAGTGTTACTGCAATTCTAAATCTTATCATCAACAGTCTTTTTGAGTACATTTGTGAAGCTCAACCAGCTGTAAACCCTCGGGTGAAGCAACAATACCTAATTTTCAAGAATTCCTGATTATAAAGAGAAACGCTAAGCTTGCATGTTATTTCTGTCACTGTTTCCTCTGGCAGAAGCAGATTTCTGCTGCCAAGTTTGGCATCAGATTTAACACTATGATTATTGACTGCAATGAGGGATTCTCATTCAATGGTGATTTCTGTAAAAATGGGCACTTCCTTCCATTTACAAAACCTTTGATTTAGCTGGGTCTTAGCTCCAGACTGGAAAAATGATAAGTAGACAATTTAGCCTCTGCCTGCTCAGTGACTAGAGGCACCCTCTCTGCAACCACTTGCCCTGTGGCCTCTCCACTCAACAAGACTTTATAGCATAGGTAGAAGGTGCCCCGATACTACTGCGTCTTTATCAGAAGCAGTGATATGAGAAGAAAAGAGTCCCAAGAACATTCTTGAGTCATAAGGCACTGTGTTCTACCTGTGACTGGTGGAAGAAGACCTTCTGTTAAGGGCCACACTATAAGAAACTGGCATATCTATAGCCACAGAGCACCCAGCTGAAGGCATAAGGTGCTGACAAGTTTATACATGGGCAATGCATATGCAATAGTTTTTTTTGCTGTCTGAAGTAACTGTCAATTGCATAGTTTGAAAATTACCAAACTTCAGGTCACAGAGGGCTACCTGAATGTTTATAGCGATGTTTTTAGGAGTCATGCCTTACTGTTAAGAAAATACTACCAAGGTACAAAAGTAACAAAGTGGTGGACCAAGTGTTATTTGTAGGGCACAGCCACACAGTGGAATGGAGTCGACCAGAAGGGACAAGAAATACAGGGGCAGTTTCCAGAGGGACAGACACAGTTGAGAGGAAACCCAGGCAGTGATCAGAGGCAGAATATGGAACAAGAAAATATCTCCCCTGGCAGCCCAGAAGGCATTAGCAGATTAATTTACCACATCAGTCATAAAGACTATGAGGGCAAATGTTTATTCATTCTCCCAGTGGAAAATTCCTCATAGTTTATTTACCTGAAATTTTAAATGCTTCCTCCCCACCAAATACTGTACATTGAAGCACCACAGAAAATGGCAACATCAAACATCCAAACCAAGTAGACGGTATCAATATGTGTGAGAGGATGAGAGTGTTCAAGGTTTGCTGTGAATAACTGCACAGTAATAATTCCAGTTAGCTTTATATAGACCATTCTTGTTTATTCATGTATAGGTAGGACAAACTATAGCCTCCTTCATACTGTGCTTTTGTGTTATTTCAGGGCAGTGGGGTTGGTCTGGGAAGTGGATAGTTAAGATTGGACATATTGGGTCATTAATACACATACAATGATGTGCCCTAAAAGTTTATGGAAATGGCTTGCCTCGTTTTGAGTGAATTCTTCTCTCTGGTAGTACAGATAATTAAAAGCCGGACTCACACCATCCGAAGGAATGTGTTTACCTTTGCTTTAATCACCAACATTACAAGAAAAATATTATAAAATTAGGTGAAACTTGATGAGAGGAAACATTATCAAACTGGAAGAAATGTCAAGATTGAACTATGAAAATAATCCTTTAACCACATTTTTCTCCTCTCTCAGGGCTGCAATAGCACAACATACATACAGGATGCCTTCCAGCTGCTTCTGCCTGTTCTGCAGGTTTCACATATCCAGATCACTTCAAAAGCACAGCCATGACCTAGCCAGACTCTATCAAGTTCAAGGAAACAGCAGGCTTTGATATGTTTATCATTGAAGGTGATACTTTCTAAACATCTGGCCTCAGACACCCATTTGAGGACACTACAAGCAACTTTGCACAGACAACATTGAGAATGCAAGTTTAAAGCGAGTATCATTTCTCTTAATGCACATTTTTTTTTTTACAAATAATTGTGTTTTCTTTATGTTAATTTAAATGTACAGAGCTTTGTATTGATTATTTCCTTTAATATGAAATTCATTCACAAATGCTTATTGCCATTTTCCTGGTCAAGCATGCTCTATTTAGAAATCTGTGGGCAGACCGTAGACTTTTTTTTTAATCCTTTAAATTTCCACCTTTAAAATTTCCACTCTTGTAGTATTACTTTAAATTCATTCTTATACTGAACTTAGTTTCGTTACATAATTGTCATGGGCAAAGATAACACTATTTATATATAGATTTACCAATTATGCTTAAAGACGAATATAAGTATCTTTTTATAGCCATTCATTCTTGAAACAAACATTTATTGAGTTCCACTGTATGCTCACAATAGAGGAACATGCTCTCACCCCAATACAAACAGATATTCTGAAAAAAGATTTATAATAATTCTTAAACTACTTTAAAATACTAATAAAGTTTCTGAACCGTAAAAAATTTGAAGAACAAGGTAAATTGGTGGTTTTAAAAATGTTCTACCCTTCAATTTATTGTATTTTTCCATACTCCTTGAACATTTTTATCCCAAACTTTACATATGGGATGAAAATATATATGAAAAGGGGTGCTAAAGAGTATTTAGTTTAAAACTGACTTCTTATGACCATAAATACATGATAGCCTAATTACAAAGCTTGGAAGTAGTCAAATAGAAAATTAAAAGGATTTCAACACAATAGACTCCCACGAATGCACGTTTAAATCTACTGCAGTTGAGTCAGGCTGTTTTATGAATATACAGAACATACTCACCAGTAGCAAATACCATCATTGCTTCTAAAGTGCAGCAAATACTGATGTGTGGGTTGACTAACTGGCGTATTGATCTTGAGAGGCTGCACGGAAGACCCTGCGAGGAGAAATGTTGTCAATGGCCACTTCTCTTGAGCTCCAAACATTCATATCGGGGTGCTATATGATGCTATTTCAGGGCCCCACTGACACCCCTACAGGCACTGTCACAAGACATCTACCCCTGTGTCTCTCTTCAGGGCAAATGAGACCTATACTTATGCAAGTGTGAAAAATACTTCCTTCAGATTTGCTTTTACTCCCCTGATAGAGTAGACTGCCTTTGTTCCATACAAGCAAAGTAAGGATGTTTTAATATCATCCTACATCTTATAGCATTTCATTTGTCTATATCCTGCTAGATTCCCAGAATTAAACTTTAAGCCTAACTGTACCCATTTAGTGCATAGCAAAATTTTAGTCAGAAAATAAATTATCAATCTGTAAAAGAATGAGATAATTATTTTTTAAAAAGTGGGTGACATCATTTACATTGCATTTTCATTTGTGTATCTTCTGAAATGGCCACATAGAAAACATAAGAACAATTTATTTACAATTTTGAAAAAAAGATCCAAAGGAATCAATTAAAGTTGCTTTATTTTTTACTTGCTTTTGGATTACCTAAAATATTTCTGCTATTAAGTCTAGAGAACAATTAAGTGATGAACGTGTTGCTTCTACCTCCTCAGAAATTTTAGACTTTTAATATATAGATCGGAGAAAAGGACTTAGATTTTTAATTTCTTGACATCAGATTTTTTAGCATCAGGTAAATTTATAGACGTTAACTGGAAATGTAAAAGAAACAAATAGTTTCAAAGAAGCTAGATTCTCAGAATTTGACTTTAAGCCTAACTGTACCCATATGGTACATAGCAAAATTTTAATCATAAAATAAATTAGAAATCTGTAAAAGAATAAGAGAGATAATTATTATTTTTAAAGCAGGTTACATCATTTACATTGCATTTTCATGTCTTTTGATCAGGTGAAGACATAAACTGAGAGATGATTCTCTGGGCCTACTTCTATGGTCTGTGGATTACATTATTTAAGAGAGAATACTCACTTAAAATATATCCGCCCTCCAGGATTGCTCTCTTTCAATACTGCTTTTCACTATCACTTTTAAATAATTGCTTCTTTGCTTTGCTTTAAAAGCTGGCAAAGCACAGGATCCAAATTTGGACAAGATGTCAATGAATGATTTAACAGACTGACTTTGGAAGTTTTTTATTCCTTCAATAATCTTTTACATAAATTGGGTTCATTTCACTCTGTGCAATTACCCTGAATAAGCGTGCCAGATTTTTCTTACATCAAGTGCAAAATAAGTTCTAGTCTAAATAATGAATGTAGCCTTGTGCCTGTGCCTTATTAAATCAAAAGCATCAAAAGTCTATTTCACATTCAAAGCAAAATGCATCCAAGAAAAATTCCTTTGGGGTATTGATATGTACGCTGCTAAAGGGCAAAACTGAGTCCCAAATCTTAAAGCAGAGGCCTAAACTTAAATATTCTCTCCCACTGAGAACAGAAATCTCTCTTTTCCCTGGGTCTCACTCTGGGCTGCACATCAAGCTCATGGTTAAATGAGTGGTGTGACTAGCTGAGGCAGTGTCAGGAGTGAGCTACTAAGGAAACATGGACCTGCAGAGCTCACAGGAGATGAAAGAAGCACCAACCTTGAGCAGTCTAAAGGAAAGTGCTAAGTATAGGGTAGATGTCTGAACCCAGAAATGAGAATGTTTCTGTGCTTTGTAGAAGTCACTGGCCCAGGTGCTCAAATATCGGAGAAATCACCTTCTGCACAGGCTAGCCATGCTCTGCTTAAGTTAGAAACAAAAGCAGACAGATTGCAATCATAGCCATCCCAGTGGTCCAGGACATAACTTCTTAGGGAAGCAATTTAGCAAAAATGTGAAACAAACATATTTCTCTTCTTCCCTAAAAAAATTACACACACACACACGTACACACATGTGTGTATGTGTACGTGTATATATATATGTATATATACATACAATATATATGTATATATACATACTATATATATATACATTATATATGTGTATATATATGTATATATATATTGAACAGATGGGGTAGATCATGATACATAACTTCAATCTGTATTTAATTTTATAAAAGCAATTATTCAGGGTCAGGCTAATTTTTATAATGTAAAAACTGCCCTTTGAGCTTCCTCTTAAGCGTACCCTACATTTTTATATTCAGATCCAGGCTTCAACTTGATTTCTTAAATTCTTGTGTTTGTAAAGGTGCATCAGAAGAGATCATATAGACTGTCCATCTTAGAACTACAATTTTGCCCTGATTTTGTGGTTGGTTAGAATTTTTAAAACCGTAGGAGTAGATTCAGGCCAGCTATTCATCACATTAAAAAAAAAAAGAATCCTGTGGTTTACCATTTGTTTTGTTTTCTAGATATCGTATAACTTATTCAGGTTTATGTTCATTTTCTGTATGTTCATTTATAATAGATGCTCTACTGCTAATATCTGCTATTAAAATCTGAGAAAAGACACCATTCTGGTTTTTTGGGTTTTTTTTTTTTGCTTAGATCTTGAAAATAATCTGAGTTATTCTACCCTTTAGGCATTTGACCTTCAGCAAGGATTAAATTATTACAACCCAACAGTAAGAAATGTATCGATGGCATTTCTGATATCTCTGATGTCTAAGGGTCATCATACACTAGGAATAGAGGCTGATCACGGAGGGTTAAGATTTTGTGTTGGGATTTAAGCTACATTTACCTTTGGATCAAAGAGTATTTTTCTCTGCATGAGCTGTCAGCCAAAAAGCAATAGGATTATGTCTGCCGTGGCCACTGCTGACTCACTTGACAGGCCTGTCTCTTGTATTAGTCGAAAAGGAATTCTATCCTGCAAAAGAATAATATGTATATTTCTTATATGCCTTCACTGAGTACAGAAATTTGGGGTGATTCAGAGATGGTCCATCTGCCTGCCCTGAGTTTTACCACCAGGCTTCTAGAGCTGCCACTTGGAGGGAAAAACCAGCGTAGAAGCCAAGGCCAGATGGATGAAATCTCGGCAGGAAGCAAAGCTAAGCCTCTGCCTTTGAGTTCCTGCCATCCTCATTATTTTTCTCTCTCATGCTTTTTTAAAGTCCTGCCTCTCTTTTCCACATCTTTTCTTTCACTTTCTCTACATTTATATTATCCTTTCTTTCTCTATCTCACCGGAAAACAATCCATCTAAAAGACTTCAATAATAATAATTAGTATGTATTTACCATGTGCCGGGCACTGTGTTTTCTATGCATTATCCAATTTAATTTCCGCTATGTGTTGACACATATATCAGGTAGATATTATTACAATCATCATTGCACAAATGAGAACACTGAGATCCAAAGAAATTGTATAACTCAGCTAATATTACACAACTAGAATAAACAGCCAGGATTCAAAACCATTTCAGTATGACCTGACTAGCTAGCATTTTAAACTATTACACAGTGTGTCTTAATGAAAGAGAAATGTAACATGTTATTTTTAGAGGCATATAAACACTTAAATGTTTAGCTCTCTTTATGCTGTGAGGTAGATTTATAGCTGAAAGACTTGGTCGTCAGCTTTGTTTTTTTCCATGCAACTGAGAACAAGCTGGGACTAAAGAGACGCAAAATGAAGCCACACGAGGTTATTGGGACCCTGGGTTGTTCTCACCAAAGGCCTCTTCACTGCTTCACACACATTTACATCAAGCAGTTTCCTGGTCATCATGAATACAGCATCCTGTCTCACAGGTGCCTTTGCTGTTCCTAAAATGGTTTTATTTCCTCCTCCTGCTCTCTTTTCTCTGCTGCCGGAAAAGCCCATTTGTAAATCACCACCCTTCCTGAAAAACCTTAACCCTCTACTATCTGCCTAGAGTACTAGAGGATGAGTTTTTAATGCTTTCCTTGCCTTGAAGATTTCGATTTGTCTAGGCAACCTTTCAGCTGACTCTTCAGTACCAGGTGCTATGAGTTACAGATAAATGTTTTAAAGACGTGCTAAATAATGCCTTGCTTCTGAACTTGGTGCTGTTCCCTATTAAGCTTAAGAAATGGTGTTGGTGGTGATACTGGTGATGATGATAATGATGACGGTGGTGGTAGTGTGACTTATTCACTGAGTACTGACTGTTAAAAAAATGTAACTTCCGTGGCTGAAAGCATTTTTAAAAAGGAGGGTTTATTGAGCCATAAAACCCCAGGTCCTGGCCTGTGAAGTCTAAACTATGTCCGTCATCTTGGAGTTGACGGGCTTTTTTTTTTTTTTTTTTTTTAGGGGGAAGAAAGATGTGAATTGTTTTGAAAATATTTATACCAGCTACAGATTCAGGAGGAGTGGAGGGATTAGGTAAAGCAGAGGCAGTTCTGGGATAGGTAGAAAGAAGTGGTTGCTCCTTTGGATTGACTATGGGCAAGTCTGGAAAGTTCATGCCTCAGAAGAAGTGGAGGCTTCTGGGGTGCAGTGCACCTGGCCATTCTCTGTTTGGAAATTGAAGAAACTGCCACCTGGAAGTTAATTCAGAGTTCCAACACACACTCAGGAACGTGAGCAGTCTTTAGTCAGCTGGCCCTGCAGTTGTTAACTGATAAAACTCTTCCTGGCTCTCCCTTCTACCCTCTGGTCTGCTGTAATTTAATTTAGGACATCTCAGAATTTTCTCCTTGTCATTACTAAGTTCCAGACACTTTATCTCCATAATCTCTTTTAATCCCCAATGTCAACCTTCTGAGAGAGCTACTATTATCATACCCATCTACAGATGAGAAACAAAACTCAGAGAGATTAAATAATCTGCCTAAAGTGACCCAACTAATAATTGGAAGAGCTAGGGTATATATCCAGGCAGTATGTAAAATGCTAGATAGAGCCCATAGACAGACAAGGAACTACCTGGTCATAAAAAGGAAAAGATGCTAATTTTCCCCTGGGTTAAATTCTTCTCTTCTAGTTAATGCTTGGGTTCTCCTCTCTCTATCCTCTGGCCTCAGGCAGAAACAAATTGCTCCACAAATCTCTGTCAGAGGGCTAACCACATTTTTCCTGCCAATGCCTCTGATCCCAAGAGAAAGTGGATAGCCTATATGTCCCATACTCCCTTACATTATAAACCTCATGTTGGGTGATCCATTTCTTAGAAAAATATGCTAGCATTTTGACACTTCTTCAAGAAAGCTCTGGTCTGCTATCTTTGGAAAAATTCCACTGCTGGGAAATGTGACAAAGGACAAGGGACCAAATGATGAACTGCAGGACAGAAAAACCGTGGCCATTTGTCAGGCATCTAGAGGGCATCTTAGTCAGGGTTGAGCAGGATGCTTTTCTTGCAGACAGGCTCACAGCTCCCTCCCTCACTTCCTTCACATCTTTATTCAAAAGCCACTTTCTCAGTGAGGTCTCTCCGGGTCCAGTGTTACCCTCCCAAAATTTTATATACCTTTTCGCTGCTTTGTTTTTTTTCTCCCTAGGATATATCAGTATCTGACATCCTTTATATCTTACTTATTTGTCTATTATCTGTCTCTTGCACTAATATGTAAGTTCAGGAATAAGACACAAAACATGGATTTTTTTTGTCTGTTACCATATTCTCAGCACTTGAAGCAGTGCTTGACACATAGTAGGTATTCAGCTATTACTTGTTGAATTAAAAAACGCAAATGTATAGTCTATAAATACCAGATAAGAGACTGGAGATAGCTGTTTATAGGGTAATTAATGATTTAAAAAATCTGGTTGTGTTATATTATAAAATGTTAACTATAGAAATAATGGAATCCATATTAGTGGTATTTGGTGTTATAGCATAAATAGGTATGATTTGAGGGCTTAGAAATGTACAATTTTTTTTTCTATTAAAGTGAATTAATTTACTTTTTTCTCACTTAGAAAAATTCACTCTATGAGGGATTTTTCAAGACTCATCATCTGGCAGGGGTAGACTATAGTGAAAAATTAGAATCACCTAACTAAGTAACTGTGGTATGCCAATACCGTGGAATAGAAGGCAACGGTTAAAGGGAATAAAAAGACTATCTTCGTCAGTTTGGTCTGCTATAAGAAATATGGCATAAATTAAGCGGTTTAAATAATTAACATTTATTTCTCTAGTTCTGGAGGCAGGAAAGTTCAAAATCAAGGTGCCAGCAGATCCAGCGTCTGGTTTGCAGATGACTGTCTTCTCATTGTTTCCTCACATAGCAGAGAGCAGAGAAGATGAGGGGAGGCAAACTTTCTTCTGTCTCTTCTTATTAGGACACTAATTCCAGTTATGAGGGCTCCGTGCTTATGACCTACTTACTTCCCAAAGGCACTGCCTCCGAATACCATCACATTGGGGATTAGGCTTCAACACTTTAATTTTGAAGGAACACAAATTTTTGGTTCATACCAAGATGAAACAGACCTCTATACTAACAGATCAAGCCTAAGGTGTATTATTGACTGTAAATAGAAAGCTACAGTATGGTACTTATAATATATTTACATAAAATAACACATGCATGCACAAACACAAATGGGCCACACACACATGCACATGCATACACACACATGCACACACATAAACACACTTATTGAAAAAGATCTGGAAATATACACACAAAACTAACAATGCTTGTGACCAGGGGTAGGAAGTGTTGTGATAGGGTAGGGGAGAATGTCAGAATTTGACTTAGTAATCAAAGGGAACTCCAGTGTTATTTTTAATATTTAGATATTTTTATAATGAAAATGTATTAATGGATGACTTATGTAATGAAATTTTCAAAAATTAAAACAAGAAGCAAAAGAAAACTGCTTCTTATCAGGGAGAAAAGATGATAGGGTCCTGACAGAGACTTAAAATATAAAACCCACAGATTATTTTTCAATTGAAGAGCCAGAAGTATGTGAACGAGAGCATCTAAATGATTTGGATTTCTTTGTCATCAATGTTCCTACAAGGTTCTAAGACAATTTTGATGACTACGAATCTCTCTTTGCTTTCCTCAGAAAAGGCCAAAGTATTTCAAATGCATAGTTTGCTAAGAGATGCAATGATGTAAACAGGAAAATTTGTCATTTCCATCTCCTTAGAAGAGGACTCTGTCTTTAGCCAGATAGTCTCTCTAATCTTCCTATTCAACCTAAACAGCTCAGGGATACATCACGACTACAGAAGCAATTTCAGAAATTTCTGGAGGGAAACACCACTCAAATGAATAAGTCTGTGGTTCAGAGTTATTAGCTTGATGCATATCATATTTTCAAGAGGCAGTTTACAATCTGCTGATCTTGACAAATGTAGCACAAGGGAATTTTAATTCCTGCATTTGCAATTGCTGTCTCTCCCTCTCCAAATTTATGGCAAAATTGTAGACACAAATAAGTATCAGGGTTGGATGAATCGAGACCTCTGCTCTGCTCCTGCAGCTTCCTCTCACACAAAGGAGAGTAATAAATGGAAAGAAAGTTAAAAAAAAAATCTCAGCAGATAATGAATCTGAGTCCTAATGACCTTCCTG